AGTTTCACTCCACCCTCTTTTTTTTTTTCTATGACTACAGGCATAAATGTGAGTTCAGAAACTCGGGACTAAATTTTGAATTTCTGCAAAAGGCCCACGCACCATGCAAATTAGCCTATGAATTAAGAGCACACACACAAAAGCAGTTAGACAAAATCTACACTGACCAGTTTTATGGAATAGTCAGCTGGTTAAAGACTTTTGACAGACCATTGCTTCATAACAATTGTTTAGTTTCACTAGACAACACAAAACACTTAGTACCAAGAAACGCTTTACAAATTGCTGTCATTTATTTGATCATCTACTGCTTTTCAGCCTTTATATAGTAACTAAAACTGTTTTGAAATTAAAAATGGAACATTTTGGGCATCAACAATAAAATCCAAAGTTCAAATGTTTTTGCTATTATAACTACTTTGTAAATGTAGCAATACTTACAGGTAGAGGCTTTATCATAACAGCAAACTAAAGAATAGCCAGTCAACAGCCGGCTCTTCTCTGAACCAAGTGTAGGTAATTAGAATTGGTTCTCATGAAAGCTATTTTTCAGTGCTTTAAGGAAAATTACAGTTGTAATGCCCTTAAAACAAGTGTTGTAGATGTGGGGCAAAGAAATAGTAAATTAAAGACACAACAATAGTTTGTTGATCAATCTTAACAAAAGTTCTGAACTTTCTATAACTATAGTTAAAAAGGAGCATGTTCAACAAATACTTGTTTAAGAAGTATACTTGTATTGTTTTCCTACCAGTGGTGCTGATGTATCCATTGCAAGATCCTCCAGTCATTTGAATTGATGAAGAAAGTAGGAATAAGCTTGCATGAATTGTTTTATTATATTATGGTGATTTCCTTAACCATTTTCATAAATGAAATTTACTCAATTAACCCAGTCTAATCCCTCTCTATTATAGATACTCAGTAAACAAAAAGACACCGTCTGTAAGGCATACATCCCAAATTGTTTCTCAGAAAATAGTTGTAGTGGGTGAACTGTAATCCATGGGGGATTACAACCAAGAAGAAAAAGCATTCATTGTGCAAAAATGAAAAATAATGTAAAATATGTACATACATATATTTTTTAAATTCCAAAAAAAGAGTTAAAAAAATAGTTGTAGTTGGCTCAGAAATATCTCTCATCTCATTTTTAGCAAAGTATTTTTTCCATCTTTTTTTTTATTACAAAAGTTTATTTTTGCATCATTTTGTACATTTTTTTTTCCATCTCAATTGTAATCCCCGCGGGTTTCCCATCACCAAGTCACCCATGTGCCATCAGCATAATCC